AAACATGTGGATGGCCAATATGAAAGAAGAAGATAAAGAGAGGTTTCTGGATGGAGCAGGCCATGTGGAGGCCATGTCTCTGTCTAACAACATGATTTCTCTAATCATGAGGGATCTGGAAAATTCTCCTGGCAAATCCAATACTGACTGGGCAATGCCATGATATCTCAGTATCTGGAATTACCTCCTGTAGGAATAAATTATTCGATAGTAAGATGATTGCTAGTAACAGTTGGTTATGCAGATTGTTATATTTTTCTCCCACATAATAAAATCCAGAGGCAATTAGTCTATGGCACATCCTTCCTTCTGTTCAAATTTCTAATATTTGCCTTTTATACTTGTGACCACCTCACTATCAAAAGATGTTAACTAAAGAAACAAACATTATTCTAGGGTCAAGGAAGTGGGAATAAGGAGGAAGGTAAGGGAAATTATTTACTTACTGGCTAAATTAGGTCCCCTTTTCAAAGGGTTCTCATCAGCTTAAAATAATGAGTTCTAACTACAATTTATTTACTGTTAGTGGTAAGAAAAACTCTAAAATGTTGGAGACTTTTGTTTTGTTTCTAGCTGACACCTTGTTACATAAAATTGGTATGCTATTACCAAAGAAGAGGAATAAAAGGAGTATTGAGTAGGAGCCATCCTTCCATGCCCCAGGAGTAGGCCACTTTTCCATTTTTTTTTTTTTGGTTGTCTCCTTTCTAGGAAGGAAGAACCCATCATAATACCTATAAGTTAATTTTTAAAGATAGCATTTCAATAGCTTCTATGGCACTTTTTTTTTTTTACCAAACAACAGGAATCATTATTATTTAGTCATCTTAAAAATCTCAAAACAAAACAGAACAAAAGTACTTTTTGTTTGAATGAGTGGACACTCTTCTTTAAACTCATAGAGGGATACTATTCAATCCTCACATAAATAGAAATCCTTTGTTTTCCAACATGTTTAAGAATTCTATGCTTTTGTTTAGGAAATCAGTACAGCAACCATGTAAAGTTTAACATCAGGCAGATCAAGATGAATGTGACTATTCTAGTTAAATAGGGCACTGTTTGCTGTATGGAAAGAAGATATATTACCAGGTGGAATGATATATATATTTGTGCAACATCTTGTAACCACACTCTGTTAGAAATGATTATCACCAGAATACTGCATGAGCTGAATTGGTTCATATTTCTTTAAGGCACAAGGGCAAGAAAGAGGCCAGCAGCCAGGACAGTATGACCCAGTCTACTGCTCTGCCTGACCTGTGTCAGGAGTAATCTCCATCAAAGCTGTAACTGCCACCATGTTAGTCAGGGCACTTCTAACATTGGTGACTCCTTGTTACAGCACTGGGTCTAAAAATAACAACCGTCCATCAGTGTCACTGCATGAAAAATAGAATTTCATCAGAATTTAAAAGAATTGTGAACTAGAATAATGCCATAGAGTAAAGCCAGTCTTGTGACTGTAATTTTTTCCTTCTATTGCAGCAAGGTGGCAGCCTTTTGGCTAAAATTTATCAATTTCTCTAATCAAAAAGGAAATGATAGAATAATTTTCAAAAATTCACAAATGACTGAAAGAGTATTTTAATATATATTAGTTTAAAATAATTTGCCAGTGATTTTTTGCTTTTTTGATATTTTAAATTCTGTTAGGGATCAGCACATTCTGGAATGTCTTCTTCATAAAGAAGAGGTTTAATAAATGAGTAAATCTAAAGTGTAGCCTAAAAATATGTGGAAACCACTGGTTTATTTAAAGAGTAGTTCTCCTTACTATCAAACTCAATTTAAATCTAATATGAAAACATGGACATTTTTACAAATGTTTACTCAGCATAATCCAGCTTGATTCATAGCAGAGATGGGGAAGAGCTTGGAAATATAAAGGCCAACAAGGAAATTGCTTTGGAGCAAGTTTTAGTAATTCATTAAACTGAGATTTTATAAAGAGGCTATTTGAAGTAAAATCTTTCATAAAAGAAATAAAAACCAATTTAAATCAATATCTGAGACAATCCAAATGATCAAGTCATAAGTTTTAAGCAAATGTTTTTTAAATATTAAAATGCAATTTCCTTTTTACAATGTTATTTTGATTCTTTTCAATTTTTTCCTTTGTTTATAAAACTTTGAGTTACAAGATCTCATTCAGGCCTGCCGTATTAAGAATACTTGATTTAACCATTTGAGATCAATTTAAAATGTCTCCTAACTTCACAAATATTTTGGCTAATATCTGACGAAACTTAAAAAAAAAAATCACTTCCCTCACAAGCTAGTTGCACCAGAGAATTATTTGTGAATTCTAGAGGAAAAATGAAAATTCAGAATAATTTAAGGTTCAAATTAGAGAAACCTAGGAATACTTGTGGCACTAGTTTAAGAGCTGATAAAATGTATTATCTTTCTATTCTCAGTGACAGGACAGAGTGTAGATCAAAATAAACACAAATATACATTACAAAAGCTAATATGATTGTGAAGAAGAGTAAAGAGATGAAAAGAACTAGATAATGCAGATATTCAGATATTTTGTAGAGACAAGAAGGGAGAGAGCTCTTGCAGATATCTAGGATGAAACCCTTCTAAGAAGCCTCAACTTGTGTGCATACTTCAGTGCAGAAGTGAGAATGGCAGGTAAGAAGAACAGGAAGGAATCATATGAGGCAGGTATATGGAAAAGGAGGGAGACAGGGAGGAAGGAGATGAATAGGTCCAAGGGGTTGGTAGATCTTTGGGGTTTTGGAACCATAATAAGCACTTTGGATTTAATCCCAACTTTTTATTTGAATAACAGTTTAAAGAAGATTATGTTAGCTAATTGTCTAATGGGCTGCTGTAACAGAATATCCTAATAGGTATTTAAACAACATATGCCCTGGAGGCTGGAAGTGTATGATCAGGGTGCTAATATGGCCAGGTTCTTGGGAAAGGTCCTCTTCCTGGTTATAGAAGCTCCTTTCTCATTGTGTCCTCATTTGGTGGAGAGAGAAAGATTTCATATCTCTTCCTGTTTCTGTAAGAACATCAATCCCATCATGAGGTCACCACCTTTATGACTTATATAATTACCTCCCAAAGGCCCACTTCCAAACACCACTTTGGATACTAGAGTTTCAACCTATTAATTTTGAGGTACAAAAATTCTCAGTGTCTGGCATTATTATAAAAATAATGGAATTTGTGAGTATAGAGGAAATTAATTGTCTCATAATTGTTACATTATTTTATTTAGTGATTTTTTTTTGATTTAGTGATTATTTTTAAAAGTGGCATGTTTATTTTTCCAATTAAAATATTTTAAAAGGATCAAAACTGTCAGTTCAGAAATATATGCATTATATTGTAAAAACAGAGGAAAGATTGGACTTAAAAGCAGCATATGTATTATCACTGTAGTGATGCAGCCACATCAATGTTGATAGCATCACAATTCATAGTACCTAAACTGTGGAAGCAACCTAGATGCCCTACAGTGGATGAATGGAAAAAGAAACCGTGGTATATATAAGCACAATGGAATATTACTAAGCATTAAAAGATAATGAATTTATGGCATTTGCTGGTAAATAGATGGAGTTGGAGAATATAATGCTAAGCGAAGTAAGCCAAATCCCAAAAAACAGGCACCGAATGTTTTCTCTGACAAGTGCCTGTGAGTCCACAAGGGGTGGGGTGGAGGGCATGGGATGAGTGGAGGAACTGTGGATGGGGCAAAGCGGAGGTGGGGGTGGGGGCAAAGGATAGGAAAAATGGTATAATGAGAACATCCTTACTCTAAGTACATGTATGATTGCACAAATGGTGTTACTCTAATTCAAGTCAACCAAATAAGTGAAAAATTGTGCTACACTTGTATATAATGAATCAAAGAGCTTTCCTCTGTCATGTATAACTGATTCGAACTAATAGAAATTTAAAAAAAAAAAAAAACCTTCTTCACACACTGGAAAAAAAAAAAAACATGACACAGAATTATGGAATACTGTTACAACTAGGATACTGACTTTGACACAATATACTGATCTTAGTTTCTAAAATGTTACCAGCATACATTTGTGCACATTTAAGTGTGTAAATTTAGCTCTCTGTTTCCTATGTGTCTGTTTGTTGTGTCTGCTACCACAGAAATCGTTCTGAATAGTTTGATCACCAAAAGGATTCCTCTTTTGCTGTCATTTTATCATCTCAATCACTGTCTTCCTAGCCTGCTTTCTGCTTGGACTCCAATTATCAATAATCCATTGTTCATTTCCAAAATGTTTGCATCTCAAAATGTCATGTAATTTGAATTACACAGTATATAAACTTTTGAGTTTGGATTTATAAAATAATAATTATAATAATAATAATTCTACTGATGAATCTGTACATATTGATGGTGTGTTTCTTTTATTATTATAAGTATCTGTAACATGAAGTTATCATAATTTGCCTCATGATTTACATTTCAAAAATAACTGGGTAATTTCTAATTTTTGCTATTACAAATAAAACTGTTATGAACATTTGGAAAAAAGAAAAAGGGAAGAAAATTAGAGTAAATTTCACAAAATAATGTTTTTATATATATATATATATATATATATATATATATATATACATATATATATATATATATATATACCAAAAAGAATTTCACCTTTAGGTATATGTAGAAATAAAATACCAATTAAAATTAATACCAGTAAAAATTAATAAATAATGGATTTAAAGGAAGATCAGTAGAGTAGAGGTGGGAGGAGAGAGGGGGATGGAGGAGACGTGGTGGAAATGGGGATTGAAATCAAATTCCTTAATGTATTATTTTCTCAAAATGACCCCAATTACTACACATAAGTATAATGTTCTGATAAAATAAGTTAACTAACTGAATAAAAGGAGAAATCAAAGAAAGAGAGAGAGAGAGAGAGAGAGAGAGAGAGAGAGAGAGAGAGAGAAGGAGTAGGGGAAAGAAAGAAAAGTAAAGAATCATTTTACACATAATCTTTTCCTAGTTTACAGTATGCTGTCTGCTGTTTGGGTTCAATTGCTCAGTAAATTTTTGAAAAAGATCACACATCACATCTTCTGGGAAGCCCTTTATTCTGCATTTTTGATTTTCTATTATGGGAATTGATACATTGTTCCTAATTCTGTTCACTGGCTTTTTAAAACAGCCCCAACAATCCCACTGACAAACATTTCTTCATGAAAGCCAGAACTGTATGATTGTAGCAAAATAATTCATACTGCAATTCTGAATAGTGCACTAGCAAATACAGGCAGCACCTGGAGGCAGAGAACATGGAATTCATACAATTAAAATGTTTAGTTTTTGCCATTTTACCAATTGGTGCATTTATTGAGCTGAATAAATCTGAAAACAACATTATTACAACATGAAAACTTCAAGTAATACACACTTTCTCTATACCAGAGCTATTACTGAATTTGATTCAAATAAGAACAGATGTTACTAGAAAGAGAATTAAAAGATAATTTGATAAGGAACAAATGTGATATCCAAATGCATTCATTTTATTTCTGTACACATTTAAAAAACGATTCAGCTCTAATTTATTGGACAACCAGTTCTAACATCATATTGTTTTTGTACAGCTTGAAACTCTAAATTAAAATTGAATTTTAGATTTGAAGCAATAAAATTAAAAGGCTAATTAATAAGCATATCAGAAAAATTTTTAAACAATTGTAATAAAATTTTGAAAAGGACTGATAAAACTGGAATGCTGATTCTAAACTAAGTTTTAAATAATTTTAAAGCTTCATTTTTTTCTTTAAGGTATTTAATTTGTATAAAAATAAATAGAATTTAGAGATATTTTTCCAAGAAATAATAATTTTGCAATTATATGTTACAGGGATGCTACTTTAAGAGAATAAAATTTCATTATCATACTACTAACCTCACACCTTTCTTCAGTCTACAAGTTTGCCTTTAAAAGTGGTTTAAAATCTTTTTTTGTAACAAATAAATTTACTTATTTTAGAAATTATATGGAATTAATTTAACTTATAATATGTTTGTTTAGCTTCAAATTGCTTAACTGAATTTGATAAAATTGCTTATCATGTGTAACCATTTTTCAAATGCTGATATTGAGACAGAGGAGAACACAATAATAAGGTTACCACAGGCAATACCCCAGCCCTCTTGAACCTCAGTCCAGAATTGTATCATTGTGTTGCTGCTAAGATTGTGAGAAGGTAACTTGGGAAGCAGAAGAATCCACAATCAAGGGGAAAAGGGTTGATGTCTCTTATGTTATTGCCTCATTATTTTCGTCAGCATGATGCTCATTCTCTCTTTCAATCACATTTCGTCTAGGAATACTGATGAATTTAACAATAGGCAAACAGTCTAAATTCTACTATAAATCTTTGAGAGTCCTTTTGCTTTTATGCAAACACTTCTCCATCTTGTCAGTTTATTGGCTATTTTTCTTCTTACCCAACAAAACTTATCCTTGCTGTTCCTAAAGATCATTAGAAGTGAGGTGGGTACTTATGCTACAGGATCATTTTAAAGCTATCATGAGCCCTCAAAATATTATTTAGCAACTTGTTTTGAGAAGGGTTCTCATGTAATTAGAGATAATATTCTAAAGTCTCTAAAATCAACACACATAGAAAATTTTTTCTCAAGTTAAAATCACCCTTGAAATCATTGAAATGCAAATGACAAGATATAAAATGATGTCCCACCACATAAACTTTTGTGTGACATGGTCCAGAACTAGGAACTCTCAGGAAAGGAAGTTTCCCAGTTTGAACTTTCATAATGTTCTATATAATTTATTTATTTATTTATTAAAAACATAATATTAAAGTACAATTTAAGGTAATAATATTAATTCTTTTTAGTATATATTTTTGAATGTTTTGACAAAGCATGCCATTACACAACCAATACATAATTTCCACACTCAAAAATTGCTTTAAGAACTCTTGATTTCAGAAATCCCCCAGGTGTTGACCTTTAGGAATCACTATGTAAAATCATGTTGCCTGGTGAATTTTTAATATGGGTTCCCTAATACCATAGAGCATTTGTTGTCTCTTGTATCAGTATTTCATTCTTTTTTTTCTGAAGATATTACATCATTACATTGTGAATATAAAAGATTCATTTTATTCCTTTGTATTAGTTTTCATCAATTTACCAAATAAGTTTTTTTTTTTTTTTTAATTTCAGGCCTAGAACAGATAGTAACAAATCATTTTGAAAATTGACATAAAGATTTTTATTTGAGCAAAATTAATCCTTTCATTTTAAGAAATGACTTTGGGTGAGGTGGTTGAGCACTATGGTAAGTTTCTGATCTGATTTATCATTTCTTAATATTTTATTTTTAGTTATAGTTGGACAGAATACTTTATTTTGTTTGTTTATTTCTATGTGGTGCTTAAGATGGAACCCAGGGCCTTGCATGTGCTAAGTGAGTGCTCTACCACTAAGCCAAAACCACAGACCCCGATTTATCATTTTAAAATACACTCTTTGAGATTTCTAGTTTCTAGCATGAAAAGATATTGGAAGGTGACATTCTTGTACTTACAAAAAGAAACAGTTAAAAAAGCTAAAACTTACAAATTTTATTAGACACACCAGAGGTCATTTAGTCCTCTATCAAGCATAGTATAGTAAATGAGACAAAACAAGCAGATTTACAGTGGAGAATCATCTCACCCCATTGGTCAATTTCTTCACAGTGATAACTCATGTGAGAAGACATGTTAGCAGTACCTGCCCCAAATGTAATTTACAGGACATGACACTTTACCTATATGCTTTTCCATGTGTTCATCCTGTGGTAGGATGTGTAACTCCTGGAGACTTAATAATCTTCAGAATTAAATATGGAAATCATGAGAGTAGATGACAGATCTTGCTGGGAAATTTAAAAAGAAGAAAAAAGAGATTGTAAGTGAAAGATTTAGAAATCACCAACAAAGATAAACAATTTCTCCTTAAGAAGAAACTCCATATAATACTATACTGCAACAGCAAAAGGTCTCTGAGGTTGCTCTCTGTTTCAGTGTCCACTTTTTTATACCAAGTAAAATTGTTGAGTCCTGTAATAACAGTCCATTTAAGTTGTTTATGGACTATTAAGATTAGTATTTGCCTACACTTCTGTTTGGTGCACTGTCTTTGAGCAATTAATAGTCCCGCAATTACTCATTAATTCCAGGGAAATTTAGGTTGCGGCACTACCTGCTCTTTCCAATGTGGACACACTGACATCTATGGTCTATTTGCAGATACATGAGGTATTGAGGATGGGAAGTGTTTTCAAGATAGGACCCACAAGAATTCTAAAATGTAAATGAACTATACTATTTTTAAAAAATATGAATAACACTAGTACTGAATAACTTTATGCCCAATAACATGGAAGACATATGCAATAAATGTTATGGAAGAAAAATTACATTTCCAAGATAAAACTGTCTCAATATAGTAAGATATTGACCTAATTTTTCTTTTGGACACTAAAGTTTTTCCTTATTTATATTTTCATTTTTATATCAAATATTGCAAGGAAGATTGACATACTTGAGACATTTTTTTAAATATAAATTGTTATTTGACCAGTTTCAGAAGCTACTGCTCTGAAGTAATATATTGTATGTGATAGAACCCTAAAGTCATATAAGTAGCTTCTGCTTCTTTAGACATTTTCTTTTGTAAGACAGCTGCTATGGCTTCTAGCTATTCAATCACCAGGGTATTTAAAACAAACAACTATACCTAAGTTTGTAAGCCCTACAGTTATTAGCTATTAAGTTTGTATTGGGTGTATAAAATGTTTATTAAATTTAAAGTTTAAATCTAAATTTTTAAAATATTAATTAAAATAAATTCCAATATGATTCAGGCAAAAATGACAAAAATTACATTTATATAAAAATGATTTACTCTGTCTTAATTGTAATTTTTAACTTTAATCATTTTACTTTACTTTTTTAAAACAAATATCAGCTCTTTTTAACTATATATGACAGTAGGATCCATTTTGACATGATTATAGAAGCATGAAATATACCTTGTTCTAATTCAGTCCCCAGTACCTCCGTTTCCCCTTTTCTCTTCCTAATCCCTCCCCCTTTCCTCTACTCCATTCATATTTCTGTCATTTACCCATAGGTATTTTTTAAAATTAATTTCTGGTGGATATACACTATGGTGAGATTCACTACATATATTCATATACGTACATAGGAAAGTTGTGTCAGATTCATTCTATTGTCTTTCCTTTCCCATACTTCCTTCATTCCCTGTTGATTACTCCACTGAATTTCTATTCATCTTTATATTTCTTATCCCTTCCCTTATTGTGGATTACCTTCCATATACTAGAGAAGACATTCAACATTTGACTTTTTGGTATTGGCTTATTTCACTTAGCATGAGTCTCCAGATCCATTCATTTACTAGCAAGTGCCATAAAGTCATTCTTTCATGTGGCTGAGTAATATTTCATTGTGTATATATGTATCACATTTTCTTTATCATTCATCTATTGAAGAGCACTTAAGTGGCCTCCATATCTTAACTATTTTAATTGTACTACTATAATCAATGATGTGGTTGTTTCACTGTATCATGAATAAATACCTTTGAATATATACTGAGGAGCTGGATAACTGGGACAAATGGTGGCACATTCCTAGTTTTCTGAGGGATATCCATACGGCTTTCCAGAGTGTTTGCACAAATTTGCACTCCTACCAGCAGTGTGAGCATACCTTTTTGCCCACATCCTCACTAACACTTATTGTTACATGTATTCTTGATAATTGCCATTCTGACTGGTATGAGATGACATCTCAGTGTAGTTTTAATTTGCATTTCTCTACTTGCTAGAGATGTTGCACACTTTTCATATATTTATGGACCGTTCATATTTCTTTCTTTGAGAAGTGTCTGTTTTGTGTCCTTTGCCTATTCATTCATTGGGTTATTGGTGTTAAAGTTTTTTTTTTTTTCTTCTTTTTATATCCTGACTATTAATACCCTACCTGAAAAGCAGGTGGCAAGATTTTTCTCCAATTCTGTAGGCTTGCTCTTCGTGCTTTTGGTTGTTTCCTTTTCTGGGAGGAAGCTTTTTAGTTTAATGTCATCTCATTTATTGATTTAGTACATTATTTTTGCTCTAAGAAAATACTTGATACCAGGGTTAGAGAGGGGACAGGGGTTAGCAAGCATGGTGGAATATAATAGACATAATTAGCCAAAGTACATGTATGAAGACATGAATTGGTGTCAACATACTTTTTATACAACTAGAGATATGAAAATTTGTGCTGTATATGTATAATAAGAATTGTAACACATTCAACTGTCATTTATTTTTTAAATCAATAAAAATATAATAATTAACTATTAATTGACAGGTATGTTTGGTGCTGGAGATACAAAGACAAAAAGACACTTTAATTCCTAATTTCCATATCCTCTCTGCATATTCAGGAACAGGTAAGGGTTAAGAGCATATCATAATAAAGTGCTCATGGTCGTTGGAACACAGGAAACTTGTAATGGCAGTATTTTTATATATTTCATTAACCATCATATTTCCCATTGTAGATATTATTTTAAAAAAACATTTTTAAAGTAATTTTGGATACATGAACCAGAAAATAAATTTCATTTCAAATTTCTGCAAAAAATATGAATAAGTGATAAATTCTGCTTAAAGGAAACATGGAGATGAATCAGCTTATAGATGAGTAAGGTTTCCTAGGTAAAGAAGACAGTAAAGGAAAAGAAACAATAGGGGTTATTTCATCAAGCCCTAAAGCAGGAACATGTATCCATTGTTAGGAAAAAACAAAGTCAAGTTATAAAACTATATTATCTTTGCAAATGAGAGAGGAAATGAAGCTGTGAAAAAGAAAATTGGAACTAGAAAGTGAATAATTTTTTTCAAGCTCAATAAAGTTTATTTAAGTTGATCTTAAAATACATGTTTACTTATCCTAAATTGTTCTTGTTTTCACCTCAAAACAAGAATAACATGATATTCTTTATTTACTTTACAAGGTAGTTATGGGTAGGGAGTGGAAGAATCAATTTAAACACATTTTAAAAATATCTAGATGCAGTATTACACACCTGTAATCCCAGCTATTCTGCAGTCAGAAGCAGAAGTATTCCAAGTTTGAGGCCAGCCCCAGCAAATTATCAAGACCCTGTATTAACTGAAAACCAAAAGGAGTGGGGTTGGAGATGTAGCTCTGTGGCAGAGTGTTTCTGGGTTCAGTTCAACTCTAAGATGTTTAATTTAGGGCATATGTTAAATATTAATAAAGAAATTAAATTAGGACATCTTTAATAATTGAATAATAATTTTTTAGTTATATTTATAAATCAAGAGAAGAAAAGAGTACATTGAGATAAAGCATGAGATTCATTGCATTACTATATTATCATTTAGTGCAACATTTTAAAATTACTTTGAGCATAATGCCCAATCTTAGCTTTTCTCACTATTTCTTTTTTTTAATATTTATTTTTTAGGTGTAGATGGACACAACACAATGCCTTTATTTTTATGTGGTGCTGAGGATCGAACCTGCCCGTGTGAGGCTAGCGCTCTCCCAATGAGCCACAATCCCAGCCCCTCTCAAGTTATTTCTGTATCATTTTAGCAATAAGGAAATATTTTCTTGTATTATTAACTGGAAAAAACAAGTACAATAAGTTTTCCCCAGTAGTGTATTTTGTCAAAGTTTAATTTCTTAATTAACATTTGTGATTATTCTAATTTTTAATTAACAGTGTTCCAGTGTTTTGGAGTTAATCAAAGACATTGGCCCCATGTGATGTTATTGATAGCATGTAAGGCAGTGGAGAAAACAACATTTTCTTAAGACGACACAAAATTTGACAATGAAGTTTTTTTTAAAGAAATTCAGAATATAGAAATTTAATATAGTTGGTTGTAAATCTGAACCATTTATATTCCTCAATTATGTAGATTAGGGTTAATTATCAAGAAATTTGTACCATAATAATATTTTGTTTTATGTACAATAGATGTATTTTCCATACCAAATCATTAATACAAAGTCATAGGACAGATGTGTGTATATAGTAGCTTGATCTTTTGAAATTGCTGATGACATGCAATATTTATTGCTATTTCAGGCCCTGCAGTATAGTGCTTAAGATTATGTGTTTCAGTCAGATGCAGCTTGATACCTAGCCATGATTTTTACTATGTGAGTGGGTGTGAGTTATTTTATAGTATCTGAGTCTCATATTCTTTTTCTGCAAACTTGAGACAATAATATCTATACAAAGAGAATAAAATATGAAAAATACATGTGAGATACTGACATAATGTCACATAGTGTTTAGTAAAATATAATTATTAAATACCATGGCATCTTAAAGCATGCTGTAATCTTCTTAAACATTTTATTAAATTTTCATTTTTCAATATATATTTGATGAAAATTATTTGTAAAATATAATTCTTATTAAAAGTTTTTTAGAATTTTGGATAGTATTATATTCCCTATAAATATCCCAAAGAGGTTGATTACTCTCAGCCAAAGAGACAGATGAGACAGCAAAAGGAAGGAGATATGTCTTGACTTATCCCTGAAATAATAAAAGAGTAGGGGGGAAAAAAAAAGGTTGAAAGACTACTGAGAGTCCTAGAAATACTACATCCCATGTTAGTTTAAAAAATTAAAAGTGCTTTGATATTAATTAACAAAATTGAATCTGGATTATTTCGGTCTGTATCACTTCTCTTACTACAAAATTCATTTTGGCAGTCCATACAATTACCCCTTCTAAACTATTCTCATTCCCATCACAGATTACTCAGGATTACTAGGAAGAGCAGGAGTTAGAAAACAAAACATACTCTAAAATGTTGTTTAAATAAAGCCAATAATTGGTGCTATTCTTTTTTTCCTCTCCCATATATTACACTAAAGTTGAAGTGACTGCTCTTAAGTGTAAGTTTCAGATGCTAACTGTACACACCTGATGAATCTAGAGATTTAACGTTATCATAACAACCTGATAAATTCTTATGAAAAACAAGATTCACAGTCTCTTACCTTGTGTTTAGTCAAAGGAAAATAAGCTTTACAACTGTGTTATCACCACCAACTGAAGTTGATTTAAGAGATATGATTTTTTTTTATTTAAAGACATGACTTCCATAATAATTGATGCAAGAGAGACCCCTAGCAGTATCTGTAACTGCTGAATTCTTAAATCAATGATACAGACTTCACTGCCAACCAGCAAGTGTTTCTGCATTGATTAAGCTTTTTTTTTCCTATCAAGAAAAGAGAGTATTACACCCTGTCTATTCCACATATTCATGAAATGATGTAATGTTTGCCAGAATATAGGAGTGGTATTTCACTTACTCACCCTGGCTGGCCAGCGAACCCAAACAAATGGAGTCATAGGAGACAATAAATTACAATGTGGATTAGGATAAATGCTTAGTTGGCTGGGAACCACAATCGTGAGGACCAAAACTCCTAACCATTCACTAACTCCTGCCACAGCTTTTCAAAAGAGGTATACTGAAAAGATACTCAAGACAAAACCTACCATTTTTAGTTTAAGGCATGATACCCAAATCTTGTCAAAAAGCCTTGAGCAACTACAAAATGCAGTTGTCAGAAATGGATTGAGAAATTTCTAGATTCTCTGGATACAGATTTTCTAGATTGACACACCAAATGTAAGAAAAGTAGTCTCAAGATAAAAAGGGATCCAAGAAATAAAAGCAATGAAATGCAAAGACCAACCAAAACTGCACCCCAAAACTTCCAGAGGATGAGATATCTTCCAAGTAATAAATGACAGCCCCAAACCCTGTTATTTTTTCCAAGTGGAAAGCACAGATATATTACAAAGAAAGATGATTTAAAAATTAAAAAATGATGAATTTCCAGAGAAGCAATACCTAATACTTACCATCAATTGGCCTATGAAGAAGAATGAAGGGCAGGGTAAATTAATTTACACTCTATCTAGAAGCCACTTTTTATTCTTCCCACTTTTTTATTCTTCTTCACTTTTAATTCAGTAAACTATTAAGTCTGACCTTCAAGATAGACTCTTTCAAACAGGAATATAGCTAAGCCCATAAAAGAAGGAAATCAATAGCATCAGGTATCAGAAATGTCCTACCCAAACCTTCTTGAGTTGTTTTGTCCTTTTTTTTAATTGATTATAAGAGGCATCTTAGCCTACAACAATGACATATGCATTTCAGCCATAGAGGCCTCCAAATTTTGAATATTAGACAATAACAAGTAAGTTTGGTTAAGAACACAAAGTTATAGAATAAACTTATCTTCTAGTCCACGTCTTGATTAATTCAAAACCTTTGTCTATTGAAGTTCACTGTGTAAACTTTATACAATATGTAACAAATAACACCAGCCTTAGGAAGTGCTTCAAGTTTGTCCCTACCCCATAAACTTTAACAGTGGGAACCTTTCACATTTTCAAGTGAACCTATTGATTCTACAGTGAAATTAATGTTCCACAATCTATCTAAATATATAGAGAGAACCATATCCCCCATTCAGTTTTCTTATTCCACTCAATGCAAGCCAGAAAGGTCTCAGTCAGGTGTTTATTTTCAGTTTGTTTCTCTCAATTAACAGCTTTCCCAGTTTTCTCTCGAGCATATTCCCTTCCTATACCCCATTACTGGGTTACCTCAACTCCATTTGTTTTTATATTGTCCTTTTAGAGGCAAGACAAAACACAAAGGAAATATGAAATCTCTATAAAAAATAGAAAAATAAAACTAAATTTCAAAATCCATATGCAAAAATAGCAGTTTGTAATCTAAATATCAATCTCTTCTTAGTATAGAATTTTTCAGTAAATCAATGTTTCCAGAACACAGAACACTCTGAACTAACATCACCCAAGAGAATTTTTCTCATATCAAGCTTTAGTAATGCTTTTAAGATCAAGCAATCAGAAAGCCAGACAATGCAGGGAGAGACCAAGGCCATCCCTTTTCACTCCCTGGACACTTGCTTTCCACATCAGACTTGACCTTTCTACCCCAACTAATAGAAAAGGTTTCTATTCTGTTTCTAGGTGTAAAGGTTACCAGACAGTAAGAGTTTAAAACATCAAACATCTATGTTTTATACCCCAGAGTTGTATAGTTTATGCATCATTCTCCATAAATAATGTTTGTTTAGGTAAGCAATCAAAATCCAGGGACATCTGTTAAAATTATTACATATATAATATCTAGTACCAATGGTCACTTTAGTAGGAAGTTCAATTATCATGTTTATAAGGTTACCCCAGTCTTTTCTCCTTTCTTCCAAAGTGTCCCCTCACCCACCAATAGTGCTACAAATTCATCACAGGACAGAAGCTTTAACTTTTTTATGCGTAATTTGCCAATTGGACTTACAAATTCTTATCATATTTTTGATATTATACATTTTCTATGATAATATGCAGTATAATATGCCTATTAACTTCCCAGTGAACTCCAAGATTTGAGCCATTAAATGGGGACATGAATTCTGTCTATTAAGGTTGTTATTGTGACCTTGCACTGCAATATGTAGTCACATATCTGTGACTAACATTGTGACATTCTTTAACTAGTTCCTCTACTCTTTGTTCAGTCACTTTTACTTGAACTTATGTATATGTCTTGGTAGAGACATTTTATTATAGGATTTTCAATGGCCAAATTCATGTTTGTCATCTAATCTGTTCCATAGGCATTTTTATTTATTTTTTTACTTATTTTATTTGTTGTGGTATTGGGGGTCAAATCCAGGGCCATGTACATGCTGAACAAGCATTCTACCACTGAGTTTCATCACCAGCCTTTCAAAGGCACTTTATTAAATAGAAACTTTAAATAAAGTGTTATTAAATTTCCCAAATATTTTATAGTTAATAGTTTATCATTGATATGTCAAATTTTTATTTAATTCTGTCAATGAACAAACAAACCCATTGCTACACATTGATTCACCATCACTCTTTGAGGCAGAGAATCTGATGATTTAATTACTTTTCAAACACAATTAATTTAAAATTGATGTGTCATTTCTGTCCAACAATAATGAAATTTTTCCGTCTATGATACCTTCCCAGGGACTAAGAAAGTGAATAGAGGATATACTGTACATCATATGCCTATATCATAATGAAAATTTTTTCCTTA